GGTTTTTTTTTTTTTTTTTTTTTTTTTTTTTTAGCTTCTCAGGTACTAAGGGGCACTGGGCCACATCTGGTGTGCTGTTGGTCCTGGGGAAAGCATTTATTTCGAGAGACAGAGAGTATGCTAGAAGAGATGTTAAGCACAAGAAGGCTCCAGCACCAAACACACGAACACAGTCGATTCACTTTTGAAGACAACAGGGAGTCTTTTGCAACTAATGGTGCTGCCACAGTGGAATGTCTACGTGCAAAAAGAAAAATGCAAGGAAGGAAAGAATCTCAGCATAAAATATATACCCAAATTAATTCAAAATGAACCATATTAAATTATAAAATTACAAAATTTCTAGAAGAAAACAGGAGAAAAATTTTGCAATGCTGGACAGATATTTTACAACAGAAGATATACAGACAGCAAGTAAGTAAGTGAAAAGATGCTTTACCTCACCAATCATTGAGAAAACAAAATAAAACACAGGGACCATTACGTGCCCTTTAGAGTGATAACTATTTAAAATTTTATACTAAATACAGCATGTGGAGCAAATAGAATTCCTATACATTCCTGGTAAGGAGGCAAAACAGTGCATTTTGGTAGTTTCGTATAAAGTTGCAAACACGTACCAGCAAACCTACTCCTATATATTTAAGTAAGTGACATGAAACCTTACATTCGCATACAATCTTTCACTGGTGCTCATCACAGCTTTATCATCCCAGCCCCAAATGGAACACAACTGAGTGAACTTCACCAAGCTGTGGCAATGCCCAGGGGTCACCGCTCAGCAGCGAGAAAGAGCAAACCACCGATACCTTCAGCGGAGAGGTCACACCGCCCTGTACACTGAAAGGCAAAGCACATGTGCCATACGGGTCCCTCGGTAGAGCACACTGGAAAACCCAGGAGGCTGATCAGCGGCTAGCTGGCCTTGGGAACCAAAGAAGAGGCAGAACATAAAGGTGACCGAGGAAGACTAGGGTCAAGAGAGGGGATGAAACCACTCCAGGTCATGACTGTGGTGGTACTTTAGTGACTCTTTGCATTTGCCAAAACCCTCAGATTCACGCTCCTGCCAAGAATGAATTATTATTATTTTTAAATGAAGCCAACAAATCCCAAACAAAGCACAATGCAACAAAAGCAAAGGTTATTATGATCCAAGCTGCAATAAATATTTGTGTAGTAGTATTTATGAGCAAGCTTTCACATAAGTGATCATCATTTTAGCATGTTGCATTTGGATATCACATTGGCAAACTTTGTGTCCTTTGCGAGAGAGCAGCAGTGAACAGGGTACAGTCTATAGTCACATTCCGTGGCGTCACCAACTGCTTCTGATGCCGGACCCCTGACCTCCTCATTAGCTCAAACATGCAGAGTGGTTCGGCAGTCTTTTCTGAACCACCTAGCCGACCGCTTGCCTCCCACTGTGAAAAGGACTATTTGATGTCTTCAAGATTACTCTTCACCTTTAACTGTACATGCTAATTATGTTACCAGGGTGATGCTAATGACAAAGAAACATCTGCACTACTTCCTGAAGTTCTGGGGCAGCACACCTGTGCTTTCAAGATGTAGTACAAGATGGGAGCTTCATCTGGTAACCACTGGACTCGGTGCTTCTGGAGGCTCTGCTGCTGATTCTATAGCTGCTTCCGGTTTCAGAGAGAATTTTCCACCTGCACCAAAAATGTCAGAGGTAATTAGGTGTTGATATCTTTTTTCCTGGTATAACTTTTCCAACTGAGGAGAGGGAAAGATTTACAAAGGGTCTATTTCAGAAGAAACATTGTTATTGAAGGAAAGCAAGCACATTTCAGTAAAATCTCGAAGGCTTCTCTAAGTAGAAATGACCCAGCCAAAGACAAACATAATGAAGTTGTACACCAAGTGCTACAGTTCAGATCTGAAACACACCCTGAGAATCCAGTGTGGAAGGTTTGGTCACCAGCCGGTGGAACTATCGGGTGATGGAACCTTCCGGGGAAGTAGGGCCTAATGGAAGGGGGTGAGGTCATTGGTGGCGTGGCCTTGCAGGGGAGCCTGGGATCTGGCCCTTCCTCTTCCCATCTGCTTCCTAGACACTGTGAAGTCAGCAGCTCTGCTCCACCTTGGTGTGCTATTTTACCACAGGCCCAAAGCAAGAAAGAGAACCAACCAAGGATGAAATCCCTTAAAACCAAAATAAGTCTTTTTTCCTTATAAGAACTTTTAGCTCAGGTACTTTCTCATAGCTATAGAAAACTGACTAATGCCCCAGTTTATTTTGTTTTTAACAAATACCTGCTGAGCTGTCTGGCTATAAAACCACTCAGAAACTCAGAGCAAACTTTGATCCTAAATATTATAACTAACTACTCAGACCTGAGTCATATGTAGGAATGGAAACAAAAGGCCAACCTTTCATTTTTCCAGCCATATTGTGAGACATTAAACCTTTTTCTCAGGAACATAAAAAGCAGAGTGAGCAACTAAATTGAAAAAAAAATAATGGCAGCTCCTCAGCCAACTTCTCCCCAAAGTGGGTCAAGCAGAAATTAATGGCTCTTCTGTATTGCTAGTAATTTGTGTGCTTTTACAGTGCTCACATTCTATTACCATTAATTGTCAGAGACTCATCCCAATACTCGGCCCCTCCTTGGGCTGAGCTCTTCACAGAAAGGCCAAATACAGTCACATTAGTTTCTCCTAGAAATTATGGGGCGATGGGGGGAGGCTCATAAGGTGTGAGGAACGAAAGAGCAGAGGGGACAGAAGCAAGAAAGGAGGAAAAATACATTATGGGGGAAGAAAAAGGAAAGAGAGATAAGGAGGAAGGAAGGAGGGAGAGAGAGAGAGTGGGAGGACAAAGAAAGGGTAGGAAGGAGGAAAAAGGGAAAGGAAGTGAGACGGAAACCAGTGTGAAGGACAGAGGCAGAGAAAGAAGTACAGAGGAAAGGAAGGATGGTAAGAAGGAAGGGAGGGAGGCAGAGGGGAGGGAAGAGGAGAGTAGGAAGAAGAGAAGGGAAAAGAGGAGGAATAGAAAGGAAAGCAACGGTGAAAAGAAAGAGAACGAAGAGGAAGTGAAGAGGAAGGAAGGGAAGGGAAGAGATGAGAGGGACAGAGGAAGGGAGGGAGGCAGAGAGAGGGAGAAAGGAAAGGCTCCCAGCACGGAGAGCGTGAGTCCATGGAACTGAGAGCAGATCTGGAGAGGGAAGAGGGCGGCCCTGGCCAGCCTGGGCATCAGGCCCGTCACCCAAATCTGCCTGTGGTTCTCTCTCTGTCTGAGCCACCCTGCCCTTTGTCCCCGTGCCGCAGCCCAGGCATCGGGAGCTGTACCACGGAGCTCAGGGCCAAGCCCGGCGAGGTGGGCTGGGCAGCGGCAGCCACCGGCCAGGCCTGGAGCCAGAGGGGAGCGGAGCGGTCGGTCAGGGTGTCGGAGCTGCTGGCAGGGCCGCGCTCACAGTCCGTCCTTCCAATGGCCAGGCCGGCTCTGCCGGGGAATGGGAGGGGCCGGCAGCCAGCAGCCGAGAGTGAGAACTTCCCCTGCCAGAGGCAGCTGCTGGCTGCCATCTGGGCAGGGCCAGTGCCAGCTTCCCAAATCTGCCTTCCCTTTGGAAAAGGGGGACTCTGTGCTGAGAAGATAGCTACTCCTCCATCCTGGGGCTCTCACTGAAAAACCCCACAGAACCAGCCTTTGAGAGAGGGAGGCATGAAAAATGCCACGTGCTGGGCTGCTTCCCAAGGAATTTGCTCTCGTGGGGCCTTGCCATACAAAACAATCTTTATTCATACCCAGTAGCTCTCCGCTCTTTCATTTTACTTAAGTGATAACCTTTTATTATTTTAAATTAAACGTCAGCATGAACAGAGTAAGATGCTGGTGTCTGAGCGTCCTTTCTCTTTGTGGTTGGGGTAGGGCTGGGTTCACTCACCACAAGCCGGGAGTCCTCGGGGTGAGGTGTCTTTTCAATTCCCTCTCCTCCAGGACAAGCAGGTTCTCACTGGGGCTCTTCTGAGCACCGCAGGGGCACTGCTGAGGAAGGACCAGCTGCTCCTGGAGTTCGGGGTCCCCTCCCTCGGGTCCTCCAGCGTGCCGACACCTCTGCTGGCGTGTGTCAGCCAGCCTGCGTCCCACACTGGGGTCCTCGCTTTGTCTGTGCTCCTTGATGTTCTTCCACAATGGCCTCGGGAGGCAGAAGGGGCAGAGCATCTCCCGGAGCACAGAATCAGGGAGACCCTTGTAACACCAAAACACAGGTGGCTTTGTGCAGAGCAAGTGGACAGACCGGGACAGACCTGGGCTGGAAAAGGCCAGGGCGGCCCTGGACTGAAGGCGAACACAAACACACCACTGAACTGAGCCCTGGATTTATTGTTAGTATCCCCTTACCTTTCATCGCCTTCTTTACTGCACAGAAACGTTTCTCCTCCCGTGGAGTCCGGAGCCTTCCCAACACCCCACTGCTGCAAACAACTGGCTTCGTAGGGACCCGGCTCTGCAGAGATTCTCAGGGGCTTCAGTGTGGCCTCTTGGCCTTTGCTGGCTTTCGCATTCAGGAGCAACTCTGAACAGACCTGCTGTTCATGTGATCGTGGGAAGAGGGAGGCCAAAAGCCAGGTGAGGCCTGAGAGGGAGGACAGGGGCGTCTGTTCTCTGCCACACAGGGTTTGGGGCCCCAGCTCTGGAATCCGAGTATTCAGCCTGAGTGTAGCAAAACTGGCTCACGTGGTCCAAACTCATAGGAACACCACAATCTTCAATTCAAAAGTGCTTCCTAGATTGTATTAGAATGGCAGGAAACGCAGTGAGCGCTCAGGGTTTGGTGACTATAAATGCCATGGTCTCCTCTGCTCCTCGCTGTACTCCCGGCCATTCTTAGCTCCCACTCTGTTGCCCAGCACAGGTAAATACCTCTGTTGTCCAGCAAGTGGCTGATCCAGACGGGAAGCTGGGTCTTCCAGTGCCTCGCCCAGTGCCCCTCCCATAGGCACATTTGCTTCTTGATCGTACAAACGGCAGCATCTGGGTGCTGCTACTCACATGAGAAAGCAAATCAAGACCAGAAGTTCCTTCGTGGATCTGTAAGTGGACACGTAGAGAGTTTGCTGGTGGGGATACAACCTCCACCTTCTGGCTCCATCCCTTGCCAACTGAAAAGTCTCCTCCATAGGGACAGAAGGTTACCTTTCTCATAAGGACTCTGTGAGGGTAAACCAGGCAACAGGATCCTCGTCAAAGGGTCTGGCCTAGGGCAGATGCTCAACATGTGACTGTACTTCTTGGTTTTTGGTCCCTGCTCTGAAAAGGCCCCAGGGGCTGCTATGACCTGGCTCATGCTCCCAGCAACTCCTGCTCCCTGCTCCCAGCCTCCTGCATGAGGTGCAAGGAAGCCATTCATTCCTGCCTTGGTGTTTTCTGGAATTAGTGCAACCATCAGGCCTTTTCCGAGAACTTTTGTTTGTTTGTTTAGAGAGCACTGGCTCTCTTCCAGGCATCTCCTAAAGCTTTAGCAGTATTAATTTGTTTCAACTTCACAATAACCTCGTGAAGTGGAAACCATCATCATCCCCATGTCACAGCCCGGGAAACAGAGGCAGAGGGGCCAACTCAGTATCTAGGAATTGGCAGAGCCAAGATTTAAACCAGGCAGCCCATGCCCAGAGCCTCCAAACCAGGCAGTCTCCACATTTTAACAAGGGATCTGCCTTACATTAAAAGTGCTCTGTGGACCAGAAGGAAAGGTGCTTATAGGCAGGGAGTCTTTCTAAACCTCTGAAATCTCTCCCCTACTCTCCTTCCAGAAGCATGGGCACCACTTCCCTAGAGGCTCCTTGAGCCCTGAGATTGAATGAGCTAGGGTTGTTGATGCTCCTAAAAGTCCTCAGCCACAGATCCATCACCAAATCTGGGCTCAAGATGCAGCTCAGTGCAGACCCTGGACTAAAACCTTGCAGAGAAGCTGCCCCGGGGGACTGCTCGTAAGAAGACAAGGCAGAGGCTGGTGCACTTGTGGAAGGTACCAAAGGTCATGCTTCAAATCCCACCTGGCAGGTCGAGGATGGGGGCTTACAGCCATGTGGAAAGTGCAGGCAGAATGCTGCCAACCTGTTCACAAAGCCCAGAGCTTTGGGAAAGGAAAAGCGAGCCTACTTCAAGACATGAGCTGGGCCGGGGATATAGCCCAGTGGAGCCGCACCGGACTGGCAAATGCAAGATCCTGAGTTTGATCCCTGGCACCAAAGGGAAAAAAGAGAAAGACATGAGCTGCCACAAGAGGTAGCATGGATGAAAGTAATAGAGGACCAGGAAGGGATTTCCCACAGCCAGGGCTGCTGTAGTTACTAGGCTGACAGGAAGCCAGAAAGGCTCCAGTTTACTGTATCTGAGGCCCTGGCCACACCTTGCTGTTGCTCCTGCCTTTGCTACCCTCTTCCTGGGGACCGCTGAGACAAGACAGGCACACAGAAGAATCAACGCTCCCGCTGGAGCCTAGGGGAAGAAAGATGAGGCGCAAGTCTAGGTCAACTCCGGCTTGTGCAACCAGGAGGCCAAAGGAGCAGAAATAAGGAATGTAGGGGCCTGAGGTTCTGGGCCAAGATGTTGGGCTGCATCCACTGTCCATCTCTCTGTGGATCTAGAACTTCCACTGCTGTCCAGTTTCCTGGACCACCTCAGAGACACCAGCCTTGCTTGCACTGAAACAATCCTTGCTGGTCACATACTCTGGACCCCTGACCTTCTGGACCAACTGTGCCCTCTGTGGTGTTCAAGCATAACACACGTACAGTGAATCATTTCTTCTGCTGTCTCAGCTAGAAAATCAGACTAAAAATAAAATACGGAGCTCACAGTCCAGCCCGGGCTCCTCAGAACCCCGAATGCTGTCTATGTAGCTGGAGCTGGAAATGCTGGGAAATGACTTGCTCAGTGCTGGTCGCACGGGGACCCTCCGCATCTCCAAAGTTAGGCCGATCTTGGGCTAGGGCACACGGGGATAGCTCGGTCAGACTGGGCCATTTCCATCTCTGTCGCCGGGATCCAAGATGGCTCCAAATGAGAACTTCTGCAGACCAGACCACCCCAGCCATTTGAAGGACAAAGTCTCCTCCCCACAGGCCCTCTGGCCTCCCCACTAAACCTGGTTGTACGCATAATGGGCGCATGAGAAGATTTCACAGGAGGACTATGCTGTTGATTTGTTAAAAAATAAAACAACCTATGAGTTTTATCTCTTTATCTCTTCCATCCAGTTTGGGGGGAAAGGGCACAATCCATCCTCCCAGTGGGACATCCACCTGATTAGATGTCATGAAACAGAGTAGTCCTTTAGTTAGTCATGGCTGGAATACCTCCGACTCACAGTTACTGGAAAGAAGAAAAAAAAGAAAAGAAAAGAAAAAAAAAAACCTAACTACAGATAAACTCCCTAGGGTTTCAGATCCGTTTTGCAATAAGCTGTGTTATGAAGGAAACCTGGCCCCAAAAGATAGTTTGAATGCAAAATAAAGATAGTTCACAGGCTTTGAAGCAGGGACAGGGCTCCTGGGGAAGCACAGGGCCATATTTTTGGAGGATCATTACATTTCCTGCTGCCAACGTTATTTGGGTCCCACCGTTCTTTTATACAACTCCTATTTTTAGTCATCAGAGGCGCCACGTCCTGCCAGGCAGGGGCCTCAGCAGGGCAGGCTGGGCAAGAAGGGTGAGGGTTGGCTTCCTGGTAGGGCAGGGAGCTGGGCAGGCCAGCTCTGAGCCAGAGGGACAGAAATGAGACCCAGGGTATCTCAGGGAGAGCTTAGGGACCACCATGGGTTTAGGAAACAGACATCAGGGGTAGGAGGCCAGGGGATTGTCAGGAAAGGACCGGAACCTGGACAACTCAGAGGCAATCATGGGCACTGAGCTCTTCTGTGCACCTATCCTGAGAGAGGGCAGGGTTCGGTGCATGTTTTGAGCCAACGAGGGGCAGGGTGAGTCTAATTACGGCCTAGGCAGAGGGGCTAGGCATGCCGGACACTTCCTTCAATTGGAGGCTGTTGGGGAAGGAAAGGAAAACACCTGTGGCCCTTTACAAATATTATAAAAGCAAAACTTGCTCATCCTTCAGGGTCCGCATCCACCTCCTGAAGTCCCATGAGGTCTGACTGTGCTGGAGAGGGGAGAGTGAAGGCAGGCACAGGTGGCCTGACAAGAATTAGCCTGGGGACACGGACAGCTCTACACTGGCACAGCTCACCCCAGGGCAGGAGCCCATCCTCTCGGGGTGCTCACGGCCTGCGTAGGTCCTGGGTAAAAGGATATCTCAAAGCTCCTTTTTGACTCCTGGCTCCTTCCTGCCATTTTGCATCTGTTTCAAATCTTTCATTTTCATGTTTCCAAAAAATACCACAAGGAAATCAACAGGAAACACCACATGCAGAGTGCAACAGGCCACCTTCCTCCTCAGTGGCATCCACGGTTCCTTTCCACCTCACCTCCAGCCCCACTGCCAGTATGCCATTGGTACATCGCCGCCTTTGTCCCCTGCTGTCTTCCTCCTGGTCTCCCTGTGGTCAGAAGAGGCCAGTGGAGAAACAGCAGGGAGCAGGCTCAGAAGCAGCGCCCAGATAATTGTGGCCTTAGGTTGGAGAGGCTGAGAGCAACTTTTCTCCAGGATAAATGAAGGAGGAGGCAGAGCCCTGCCTGGGAAGTGGGGCTTGGAAATTTCTAGGATCAGCCCATGAAGAAAAGTACAGAAGGAACTGGAGAAGAAGTCATTACCAGCCAACCAGGCAAAAATAAATAAAAATAAATAAATCATTGAAAAGGAATGCACTTGAAGCCAGAGGTGAGGAATGGGCTGAGTCCTCCAGAGCTGACACCAACCCTCGGCTGTGCCATCAGCTCGGTGCCCACTGTCAAAGCCCTTACACATGCTGTTCCCACCGTGCACACACTACGCCTCTGCCGTTCACCTGTGTGAGTTTTCACGCACCCTCCAGAGCCACGCCAGGCTAGTGATGGAACAGACAGGAGAACCTGACTGGCCGGCATGCCTCTGTTGAGGATCTGTTTTGTGCACAGCCCTGGGGGAAGTGTGGAGAAACAGAGGCCGAGATAGGATGCAAGCAAAATGGGGGATGCGTGAAGGGACAAGACAACCCTTGTGACGTAGCTTAGCAACCTGGAGAAGCTTTCATTCACTCAGCAAGCGGTACCTTCGCCAATGGAAGGACACAGCTTGACCTGGAAAATCCTGATCTTCCTAGACATCCTGATCTTCTAGGATCAGCTGGAGACTTCGGGAAATTCAGAAGAGAGTGAGGGAGAGACAGAGACAGAAGCAGCAGAGAAAGAAAGAGACAGACAGACAGACAAAGACAGCAAGGGGGGTGGGGAGACTGACTCTGAGGCCCACACATAAAGAGGAACTTTGAGGAAAGCAGTGGAAACCTGCACCTTATGAATTGTTGGGTGTGGCTTATGCAGCCTTCCCCTCCATCTGCCCATGAACATCAGTCAATTCCATACCAGTCTTTAGTACCCACGGCTTGGGTCTGTTATGCGGTGATGTAATAAAGCCCAAATTCCAACTGAAAGAAAATCCTAAGCAAGGAAGAGGCTCCTCACGTGAGGAAAACTATGTCTGGGTTACACTGAGGGTCCCTTTTGAGCAGGGCCTCAGCAAGTTTAGAAATGTGCGTGTTTAGGAAGCTCCGAGTTAAGGAAGCGATCGTTACGGCTCCTGTCTAGCTGTCCCCCCAAAGCCTCATGCAGTCACAGGTGGGGCTTTTCAAAGGTGGCTGGATCTAGGGTATGCGATGGTGGGATCAAGGATGTGATGCAGGAATTGACTCAGGCAGGATGAAAGGATTAAGGGTGCCCCACCCTGTGTGTGAGTGCTACCTGCCCTACATGTGGGCACCCTGGATAGGGTGCAAGGGACACAACGGGGGCCGCTGCTTGTCCCTCGCTGCTTGTTGCTTGCTGCCTTGTGCTTGCCCAGCTCTGCTTTCTCCTCTGCGATGCCCCTCTGCCGTGTCACCCTGCCCTGGAGCCGGCCGATTATGGACTGAAACCTCTACACGTTGTGAGCTAGATCAACCTTTCCTCCTTTAAGTTTGGGTGCTGGGTATTTTGTCTCAATGACAAGGAAAGTAACTAAGACACAACCTGAGGAGGGGTGGGTAATCAGGGTGGTATTCCTAAAAGCAGCAAATTTTCAACTAACTATTCCTTGGGAGATGGAATTGGAACGGCTGAAGAATAGTGATCCTCGTGTAATTCCACAGAGACCCAAAGACCACATCTTGCCTCCTGTGCTCAGCTCAAGATACCTTTGCGAGCACAGATGCACACGGGAACACTGAGCTATGCCACACCTACCACAGTGGATCACACAGGCATGCGGAGCCTTTCACCCCTCACACACTCCAGATACACAGCTGAGCTCTCCGAGACAGTGTACAAAGCCTGCTTGTTAGTATTAAAACCATGTTTAATACTGATGTGCAGGAAGCTCAAATTTACAACCTCTGAGACATTTTTAGTGGAAAATGCAAATACATAGCTGAGAAATTGGGCACCTGTCTCTGCAAACGTTTATCTCCCCAAGCTTAACCCCAGTCTGAATCTTTCAATGAGCAAAGGTATTAGATCTGAAGCAACATCCCAGATCTTCTCAGCAAACTCAGAACAGACATCGCAGAAGACACAAAGAGTCAACTCAGAAGAGAAGAAATGCAAATAGCCAATGAAACACAGTACGTGTACTTGTTAAAGTCCTGCTTCACTGGAAGTTAAGAAATGCAAATAAAGATGCTACATGATAGCATTTTCCTCTAATTGCAAAAGTTAAAAAGAATTAAAGGTTGCTTTGGGGTTTGGATGGGGTCTTATAGTACTGGCAGGGTTGTCTCCACAGGAACACACCTCGCCTGAAGCCACACCTTCCAAAGCCTGACCTCCTCGCCTCTCACGGTTCTGACAGAGCAGCCAGCCAAGTTCACAAAGAAACACCTGAAAGGGTTTTCATCCTGTTAATCTTTGAAACACTAAAAAACTGGAAACTACCTAAATACTTAGCAGAGGATATTATTAAGCAAAGTAATGATATTCATTTAGTGAAATGCTACATTACCATTTAGAAGAATCAATGGTTTTATGACTCAGAAAACTGCAAAGAGGCCCAGTGAGATGTTGTAATCAGAAAAAGCAGCTTCATGAGGAATGCGTACAAGACTCTGGTAGTAGGAGACGTGGTTCCTGGTGCTCAGCTCAGTAGTTCTGGTTCTTAAACCAGAATATCAGCTGCATGGACAGCGGGTGACTATTAACAGCTGTCTACAACAGTCCCCAGCGATGCGGTCCAGGGGCAGAGCCCTTGCTTGGCGTATGTGCTTTGAGGTCCTGCGAGAAACAAGCCAAAAGGAAGAGGATCTGGGATGGGGGAGTTGGGAGGGAAGCTAGAGGAAGTAAAACCAGATGACGATGTGACACGTCCACGAACGGGCGCCCCACAATGAATGCATTTATTATGCATTGCAAACACACGCTAACTAAATAAATTAATAAAAACGTGCCAGGCATAAAATAAGCCCTCAATAAATGTTTGTTAATTAGTGAGCTGTTGCTTACTGTGCAGCAGGCCCTGCTGTAAACACCTGATTTAACAGCTCATTCTCACAACGGCCCTGGGCTGTCCTACTGTGAACCCCGCCCGACCACAGGGAGGCTGAGGCAGGGAGGCTGAGCAACATGACGCGGGTCACCAGCTGGTACACGGAGGAGACAGGAGAGGAGCAAGGCTGGGCACCAGAGTGAGTGTCCAGGCATGTCCCCGGGCGTGTGTGACGACGAGCAAAGGCCAGACGCCGGTGCGCCCCTGCCTCCAAAGCAGCAGTTCAGGCAGCTGGGGGCGGAGGATTACCAAGGCTTTAAACTCCTCTCATTTGTCAGGAGTTTCTAATTTCTCTACAGGGCGAATATAAAAATCACTATTTTAAAAATATATAAAGACTACTTCCCAGGGACAAGGGGAAAAAAAATGAGAACCAAGACTTGTCATGTAGAGGTACAAGATCCCAACTATGAATGTAACTGTACTGTATCCCTAAAATGTACCAATAAACTCAATTAAAGCTGAAAAAACAAAGAATGAGAAATTACAGTCATTCATAGGAAAATGGGTGCATATTGAGGATATACTCCTAAGTGAAATAAATAAGTCACACGTGTGTAAATACCAAATAGTTTCCCTGGTGTGAAAAACTATAATGGTATATAAGATCCTAATGGCATAATTGACAATGTGAAATTGGAAGAAAAGAGCTAAAGGTGTAGGGGAAGTGGGAAGGGTAGGGGAAAGGAAAGGGAAAAGAAAGAATATGAGAAAATGAAAAGATGGAAATAAAGTGTTTGTAAGTGGGGAGGGAAGGAGGGGGTGAAGGGAGGGCAGGGACAAGGGGAAAAAATGAGAACCAAGACTTGTCATGTAGAGGTACAAGATCCCAACTATGAATGTAACTGTACTGTATCCCTGAAATGTACCAATAAACTCAATTAAAGCTGAAAAAAAATATAAAGACTACTTCCAACTAACAAGTGGTTTTTCTGTTTTGATTTTGGGGACAGGGTCCTTCTCTGTAATTCAGGCTGGGCTTTAACTTGCTATGTCATCCAGGCTGGCCTTGAACTCCTGGTGATTTTCCTGCCTCGGCCTCCCAAGTGCTGAGATTACAGGTGTGCACACCACACCTGGCCATGCAGTTTTCTTTAATGATTATTTTCTCTGGCCAGAAAAAAAAGGCAGAGGAGAAGCAAAGATAAGAAACAAGGGAAGGCACACTGTAGTGCCTTTGTGCCCAGACTAGCATACTTTATGGAATATGGAAAGGCAGATTTTTTTTTTTTTTTTGTGGTACTGGGAATCAGACTTGTGTCCTTGTGCTTGTGAAGCAGGTGGCAGAACCACTGAGCTAAATCCCCAACCCAGCAGATTTTCATTTTTTAAAGCAAAGTACCAAATTTTCAGAATCCAGAAGCCTCCTGATTTCCCACATGTCCTGTCCTGGACTCTGCCACCCAAGAGGATGCCAGGGCCCTGCCCTTGGGTTGCTACTCACCTGGACCTGGCAGCATTTCCAGGTGGACACTTGCTCTGGGTGCCACTGCTAACATTTCCTGACTTCCTGCTCCATGGTGGGGACACAGAGTTGAACAACATCTAATTCTCACCCTTGAGAAAATCAGAGACCTTTGGGGACACAGAGGGAAAACACGGAATTAGGGAATCGAAGAGGGAACAGGGAAGTTCAGAGCATGCGGGAGCACAGAGGGGGACCCAGCCCGTGTTGTTACTTGTGCTTCTCTCTGCCCCCCACCCTCCTTGTTAACTGTGCGCTTTCTCATGCAACCATCCAACAATCTGTTAACCCCTCCAGAGCTGGCAATGTGACTTCTCAGATAGGCATCCCAGTCCTAATACCAAGGCCACTGAATGAGTATCTCTGCACAGTTGTCCTGCGGGGAGATGGCCCTGGAGGGGACATCTGGAGCGGTCTCATCCAGAGTCAGGCCAATGCCGAAGACTGGGCCTTAGAAACCTCTCTGCTCAGAATGAGCTGAGGGAATAGATAAGAGGAAGAAAGAAACTCCTCCTAGGCTGAGGGAACAAATGCAAGACGAATGTTAAGTAATGGTTGGATTTGCTTCAGTCAAAACAGATGTGGCCAAAGCCGAGGTGAAGCCGGGGCAATCCAAGCCAGGTAATCATGTGGGTGCTTTGAGTCACATTAAGAGTTGCAGGTTTTATTTTGCAAGCTGCAAGGGTTTCAGGAAAAGAAGAGGCACAGTCAGAATTGGCTACAAGGAAATCGCTGAGAGGACCATGGAAATAAGACAGGGGCAAGACCCGGGGAAGAGATGAGCAGATCCCTGCAAGAAGGCCACCAGGGACTAATGGCGATCAGGGGAGACTGCGCAGAGAACGGAGGCAACGCAACACCTCCTCACCATCTCCCCCCAAGCCAGCTGGAAAAGATTCTCAGGCATGCAGAGCAGTTTAAAAACTGACATTGAGTGAGAAAAAGGCAAAGAGGATCGAAGAACATAGCTACCCTGCCTGCTCAGCGCGCAGTCCCCCAGGCGTCACACTCCACTCGCGCCTCGTAGCGCACCCTCCCCCAGGCAGCAGCCAGAGACAGGCTGCGGAGCAGCGGCAGAGGGAGGACATTACAGAGCTCAGCATCTGTGCGCCGCAGCTGCCAAGCCAGCGCCATGTGTTCCCGCAGCTGTCGGCACGGTAGCGACGGAAGACGGAACAGAAGGACAAAAAGAACGTTCCGAACTTCCGAACCTGCCTCTGGGTGTCGGGCAGGTAGACCGGCTCCGAGCAACGGAAGCTCAGGGAGACGCTGCTTTCCTGGGGGAAGAAGGGCCACGCAGAGCTGTCGGGGAGCCAGGCCGTTACTGGGGCTGCACAGAGCGGAGCACACCACCTATCAGCTCACCTGAGCCAGGTGGCCCAAGAAAGCTAAGGGTCACCTGGCCCGACCCAGCTCCTTTGGGCAAGGACCCGGTCTCCATCTGTCTGAAGACACCTGTGACCTAGCACTGGGTGTGCAAATACATGGATCAAAGGCAAGTACAGTTTAGGAACTGCTGAAGTTCATAAGCCTCTTCCTACCAAGGAAACAGAGATGGCCCAGGATTTGATCATTCTACCAAAATGGGGAATTATTGGTTTTGCCATTCCCCTGTAGGAAGCTGGGGAAAAGGACCAGGTGAGTATTCATTCATTCACCCATTAATTCAGAGATATACTACATATACGAGACTAAGATAGGCTTTGAGACAGCTAAGAGACACAGAAATCAAAACAGAAATGCTTGGAATGCTTTTATAAAGAACATTCGCACCCATTGTTTTCTTATAACCAAAATACCAATCATTTGAGTTGGTGCAGGCACCTGGGACCTTTATAGCTCTTGACCCTTCTGAGTGTCTAGGGCCCTGTGGACCGGAGTTACACAGCATTTTGAAGACCACACACACCCACAGCAACAGGCCAAAGTCACATTTCCATTCTCAAAGTAACTGGCCTGGGACCACCCGCTCCCGAGTGGCACAGCCAGGTTGAGAACCCGCAAGGGGTTTCCAGTGTAAAGAGTGTGGCTTCAGAGGGATCTGAGATAATGATGAAAACGAGACAGAGAGAAGATGCAGTGTGTGGGGAGGATTTAAAATAATGGAAAGATCTCCTGTTGCTCAGGGCAAGCTTGGTGGAGGATGAGTCATTTAATCTTGGGGCTTGACAGCAGGTAACGGGCCTTGACGGAAGCTGCAGATTTGGGCCAGGCTTCTGACGTGGTTTTGATGGGAATGGGCCCTGGAGACAGACACTTTAAGTTCAAAACTTAGCTTCCGTGAATAAAATGGCGATGACAGTGATGGTATCTACTCTAGGGTTGTTCTGAGGAGGAAGGAAGATTGATCTAGCTAAAGCCTCTGCCGTAGAATGTGCTCCACAAGTGGTTGCTATCATGATTTTGCATCCCCTTGTATGCGGCGAGTTCCACATTGCCTTCTGTGGGGCTCTCTGCTTCACAAGCGTGACAGCCAGCATCCAGAGCTACACACAGCAGCATCCACCTTGGCTGGTGATGATCTGTGAAGATTTAAACGGGGAAGAAATTTACTGGGAGGTAATTCACAGAATCACCAGAAAGGCTGGATAACCAGGTGAGAAAATAGGTGGGAGCTCAGGGATCCTGGGCAACCAGGACCACATGCCATGGTATCTGTTGCTAGGCAGGAATTTTGAGGGGCAATCTCCCCTGCTGGCAGGGGAAGGGACTGCTTCCCCTGCCTAGGGCTGCTAGCATTCCTGCAGGTTGTTTTCTTGTTTCAGATAAGACCCTTCGAAGAAAACCACAAGGAGCAAGGGATTTAGCTCAGTGGTT